TTCTGCTGGTGACACCAGGCTCAGAGCCAGGTATTGATCTGCTGGCTCTTCCTGTTTCTTGCTTCATCCTTCCCTGCAACTGGAGGGATAGTGGAGAACACTACTTGTGCTCCCAAACCCTTAACCAGTCGTCCCAAGGCCCTGAAGTGTCCCTTGTCTGCCCTCAGACTTATTGTTGCAACTTCATCATTGCCCATCTTAAAAAAATCAATAATGGATAATAATCCTAGGGCTGTACCAGGTTAGGAAGCTTTCTCTTTCCATCCTTAACCTGGGTCCCAGGGACGCAGCAGACTTCCTGAGAAGTGGGTCTAGTCTGTGTATTGAGCCTTCTGTTCCCTTGAGAAGGGAGTCTCCTATGACAATGACCCGTCTTTTTTTCTTTATGGAAGCATTTTTGATGTATGGCATAGGCCAACTTAAACTCAGCAACACCTCCAAACCAGATGGACCATCATCCTTGTTATCATTCGGTTCCACTTGCAGAGCATCGTATCTATTACACAAGGGCACCTGGGAAGGTGGGGTAGTCACGGAGGAGATGCACCTGCTACGCCAGGCAGAAACTTGTCACCATTGCACCCTACCCCTCAAGTCACTGTGTTTAGCCAGGTGGAGAGAGGATCTAGTTGGAACACACAACACTGCAATATAAAATTTTATTACTTGTTTTCAAAGAGTATGAACAAAGGCCGTGCTCAAGAAAATTCAGCAAAAGATTTTTTTTTTTAATCAGCTTTGAATTTTGATGGTAAATATCAGGACAATATCATATCAAGCCCTGGCAACTTAACTGATACTCACTCAGAGAAAATTACCATTTTCATCTTTTCACATACACACACAGCTTACCTCATACATGACTTGTCCTGATGCCAAGCGTTTTCTGTCACCAAATGCTAACTGCAACAGATGTAAACTCACGACATCACCTTCACTGAAAAAGGTATAAATTGTGAAATTTGATTACAAAGCTGCTTTATAGTCCTCATTATCATTTCATTAGATCTGGACTTAAATTTTCCTATTAGTATGCCCTTGCTGAAGAAAAACAACATCTCACAAAACATGGTTATTTGTCACATTTAGCCGCTAAAACACAAAAGGAATAATTTTTGACACTAACAGCTTCAGGGGCAAATGGTAACCATATAATCTGAAAGCTTTAATATCTTGTAAGCACTAAAAATTGCTGGAAATAGTTCTGCACAGTGAAGAGTTTGAAATCAAAACTGCTTTAAAAGCAAACTTAAAAAGATTGCCACTTCACAAACAGCTGAGCTGATTAAGCAGCTTGCTGATGCTGAAAGAGAGAGATCTTTCTCCCCTTCCCTTTCCAACAGAGTTCCAGTCCCTCTCTTGCACATACTGCACCCTTCCACATTCTGATTTATTCCCAGCAGGAAGCCACTGACTTTTCAGCTGAGCAGTGATCATTCTCTGCCAGGTGAGCTGAACCGGCACACAAAGCCTCCACAGACAGCTGAAGATGGAACAAGGTCATCGGCAATACTGTCACCTCCCTCCTTTAGGGGCAGCAGGCATTTTATTGGCATGTTTAGCGTTCCAGATCAGCAGCCTCAACTTTTAATGGTATTTTAATACCATGCAGCAAATATCAAACAAACCATGAGGCAGTCATCAAGAAACAAAGGGAATCCTTTAAGAATGCAAGCACAAAAATACAGCCACTCAGCCACTGTTGCTTTGCCTCCTTTCAAAAGGCAGAAACTAGTAGGTCCCTCTTCACATCTGTTCAAGCATCTAAAAATTGCATTGTAAGCTTAACACCTTCCATACCTGAGAGAATCTCTTGCACAGCTAAATAAACAAAACAAATATACATATATCAACGGGATGTGAGCAAATATATAAAAACATTATTTCAGTGGCTTTTTATTCACCTTTCTTGTGTAGACTGAACAGCCCACAAGTAGCAACAATTGCGAGGATCATTCTCAGGCTCTTGAAAAGTAACAGCATAGACAGGAATCCTTCCCCCTTCAAGCTGAGAGTGGTGCCTACAGGTTTAAAGGAAAAAAAAAAATGATCCTACGGGCCTTAACTGTAGAAGGGTAGAAGCATCTTCTGAGGAAAGAACAACTTACATGCTTAACCTCAAAGTACAGATGGTCAGACTTCTACCTCAAATAAACAAGTCAAGGAAGAGACTACTTTTTATGCAACAGTCAAGAGGTGAGGAAATTACTGGCCATCAAATGCAATAACCTGGGTTGATGTCCTCCTCTGCCCGAGGAGGAGGAGCATAAATGATAACTTCAGCTGCCAGGCAAAAGATTGTCCCTACTGTTGTAGCCTAGTTCAATATGGAACTTAACCTGCAACGTATCTTCTGAACAAAATTAAAACAGTGCCAAACAGAAGCACTATCTCGTTTCTTTACTATCTTATAGAAATCAGCTCTATCACATCCTAACTTCTTGACATAACCCAAAGAAGCATGCTTTCCACAACTCCTCAACCCACAGAACAATAAGGAAAACAACCCTAGTCCAGTGGGGAGAAGGCAGTCCACTGAATCCATGTATGGCTTGATAGGTATTTCAGAAGAGGATTTCTAAACATTCCAAGATTAGACTCAAAATTTCTGTCCCTGAAAAAGTTCTCTTTAAATTAACATACTTCCTTAAGCTAAAAATTGAGACCCCTGCACCTCCAGGCATGGCCAAGTGTAAAGGCCTACTTACTCCCTCTTCAAAGTTTTCATATTCCATAGTGACAGGTAGCCATCTGAAAAACCCACAACAAGCTGATTGCTTCTGCTTATGTAGCACAGGGTTGATACTGCTGTTCCTGAAGGATCTTGCAACTGAAAACAGAGATGTCTCCCTTCTCTGGTCACAGTTTCTCTTCTTTGTGGAACTTCAG